GGGCTGGCAGAGTGGCTCCAATTAGTAAGAGTGCCTGCCCGGCACAGCATGGAGGCCCTGAGTTGAAACACAGTTCCAATAAAATAAAAAAACGGATACAAACAACAGCAAATGTTGGCAAGGACTGCACGGACAAAAAGGAACCCTCATAGACACTGTTGGTGAGAATGTTAAATTAGTAAATAACTGCTGTGGTGGGCTCCTCAAAGAACTAAAACAGAACTAAATGATCAGCAAATACCACTCTTTGGCATATACCTGAAAGAATGTAAGTCAGGTTACAAAAAAAAAACACCTCCACATCCATGTTAATTGCAGTATTATTCATGAATTAGCCAACTATGGAATAGCCTCAATGCCCAGTTGATGAATGCATTAAAACATGTGTTAATATGCAAGGGAATTATTATTCGCCATAATAATGAACAGTTTGTCTATTGGGTAAATGGATGGAATTGAAGATTATCTATCCTAAGTGAGGTAAGTCAGGTTGAGAAAGACAAGGTCACATTTTTCTTTCATATGTGAATAGACCGATCCAAATTACGAATACAAGCATTATCATATTATACATATAAATATGCACATGTTCCAAAAGTGGAGCTATTAGAGGAGAACTAAAGTGAGGAGGAAAAGACGAAAACATCAATAAAGAGTGGATAATACTGATAATGCATCACCTCTGTGTAGGAACAAGATACAGTGAAATGCACTGAAAATTGGCTCGAACAATATCAGGGTAGGAGAAAAAGGGTTTTTACTCTTTCTTAAGAGTAATAAAGGGGGTTAGACTGATTAAGTCTATTTACGTTAATTAATACCAAGGCAAAACCCCAATGAACAATGGGACAGACAAATAATTGAAGTATAGAGTGTAGAACAGGCCATGTAAGGGGGAGGATACCAGTGGTGTGGGGGTAATATGAAGAGAGTAAAGGAGGGTAAATATGGTTGATATATTTTCGCACACATTGTAGAAATTATGGAACACTGAAACATGTCAAAGACATTTTAAGTAAGGGGGAGGGAAGAGGAAGAATAATGGAGGGGATGAAATCCACCTGAGTATGTTGCATGCATATATGGAAATGTCACAACAAAACTCTCATACTATCATTATGTATTAATAACATTTAAAAACTAAAAATAAAATACATTGTTGGGACAAACTGAATATGAGCAGTAACTCAGACAACAGTATGTGTGAATATTTAAATTTTCCTGATTTTTGACCACTGATGTGCTATGTCAGAAATGTTACTTGTTCTTGGGAATCACATGCTGAGGATTCAGGGCAATAGGGGCACAATGTCTCTGAGGTGCTTAGAATTGAGAATTATACATACAAACAATATATGGGAAGCAAAGTGACAAACGTTGAAATTAGTACATGTGAAGTGTAGCCAGAAGTCCTTTTACTACTTTTGCAATTTTTCTGCAATTAAAATTATTTAAAAAATTAAGATCCTAGAACAGGTAATTATTTACATTCACACACAGAAAAGCTAACTAAAATAATCTTTACTAGACTTTCATGTGGTTTAGGAATACGACATCTTAAAAATTTGAAGATAGTCCTAATGGTAGGTGATAACTCAGTCTGCTATTTAAATATAGGCAATAGGTCCTTGGCCATGAAGAATAGTTTTTGTTTCTGGAGTATGGGAGTGGGGGGGTTTGAACTTAGGGCCTCATGCTTGTTAGGCAGGCACTTGAACTACTCTATCAGCCCTTTATTGTGTTGGTATTTTTGAGATAGTCTCGCTTTTTTGCCCAGGCTTTGGCCTCCAACAGAGATCTCCTGACCTCTGCCTTGAGTGGCTAGGATTATAGGCATGAACACTTGGCACTAGGCTAAAGTAGGTTTTTAGTTTTATTATTGTTGTTTTGTTTTGAGACGGATTCTCACTATGTTCCCCAGGCTGGCCTTGAACTTGTGATTCTCCTGTCCAAACCTTCCAAGTAGCTAGGATTTATAGATCTGGAGTAAGTTCTTTGTTAGTTATCTTGATTTTAAATAATCCTAAACAAGAGATGCTTAGTTTCAAATTCAGACTATGAGGTAACAGCCATTGGAGCAATATATTTGTAAGGTTTAAGTAGCAGAAAAAATTAATGAAAAATAGAGAAATAAATATGTCATGTATTATGAGAGTGAAGTTTTGAGAAGCTTCAGTTATTTTGAGACCTAGAAATGAATGATGGAAATCAAATCATGGAAGCAAGCAAAAGAAAATACTTTTAAGGAAGTATTTATGGTAAATCAGAGAAGTTGGCAAATACAAGAAGAACATGTAGAAATGAAGAAGGCCTAGATTCCATTCTAACAGTGAAACCAAAAGAATTCTCAGTATTCAGGTTTAGCTTGTGACTCAGAAATGTTTATCTTCTCACTGGGCTTCACAAGTACCAATTACCTGCTTCAAGGACCTTTGACATTACAGTCAATCACCCTTGGCACCAATGGGAAGAACAGTGGTTGATTACTTATTCTAGCAGCAAACACCTCATCCTTGAAACTTCTATATTGAAATTCACTTTCACTTTGAAAAATGTTTGGAATTTGTGAGACACTTTTTTTTTTGTCAGTATTGGGGCTAGGCAGGTGCTTAAGCACTTGAGCCATTCCACCAGCACTTCAAAGACATTTGGGTTGCACTTTAATTTAAAAAACAGCGGTTGAGGGTGTAGCTCAGTAGACGAGCACTTGCTGTGCATGCTCAGACTGTATGCTTAATCCCAGCATCACACACATATTCAAAATCTGTTAAATTTTCAGAGTAGAATGACATAATCAAACATAAATTAGCAAAGAGATAGTGCACAGTAGAAAGGAATACAAGATTAAGTTTGCTTTATATCATCTCTTAAAATATAATAAAACTGATAGTCTATAAAATGTCAAGACATGTTTTTGTATAGTGAAAATAATTGTCACTTTTCTTATAATGTGATCTTTGTTAAAAACATTCTTGGTAGTCTTCTAAAAATGTTTCTGGTCACAGACAAAATGTCTATTACTTTATGGCCACACTTGGGAAAAGAAAATGGGATCACCTAGTTCAGTTTATCTACCTTACCCACCAGATTTTACCAACTTGGAGCAGTCATTGAAAAATCAACATTTGTCACTCAGGAATTCAAAGAACTGGCTACAATCTTCTGAAAGGTAATTCCAGAAATGCTCATGTCTCCCTGATTTCACATTGGTTTTTTAAAATTTTTTACCACTGTGTTTCAAATCATTATTTAAATGGTGATTTTAAATTTACTGAGAATCTAAAATCTGTATTTTTTGGCAAAATATGATTGTTTTCTAAATCTATAATCCTCACCTTTTATTTCCTGTTTTTATCTTTTATATTTAAATAACTCAAAGTTCTAGTCATGGCTACTTCTCCAAATATCTGTCACAGCATATGAAAAAGAAAACAAAGAATAACCATTAGAAGTAAAAATGAAGAAAACCCAACAGAAAGAATGAAAATTTTCAGAGGGAAAGAGAAGTAGGGAAAGGAGACAAGTAAAACGAATGCACATGTACATTTTTACATGCATGTAATCACTTTTAAGCTAGTTTTAGATTAAAACAAAAGTATATGTTGTATGCAGTTTTTAAATCAACTGCAACCTAAACTTGTGTTTGTCTGCATTATGACTAAAGATAGAAAGCGATCATTAACAAAAGCCAAGCCAAAAGAGTCCGCTAATATTTCTTCAAACCCTAAGAACGCATTTATTTCCTGACTTCCATATCCAATGAGAAGTTTCAGATTTGAGATTCTGAGAGCTATATATGCAATCTTACAGGTCTAATCAGTATTTGAGGGTGTATTAAGTTTATATTACTAATATAAAATTGTTAATAATGAAATTCGAAAAATAAAAAAACAGATTTTATGTTCTATTCAGAATTCTTTTTTTCTTTGAATAGAACTGAAAATTAATCATCTGGTATAAAATTTAATTTACTCACCTGTGGAATAACTCAAATGCCATTTCAAATAGTATAGTATAAATTACACAAAAATTAACTAACTCATAGAAACCAATTGTAAATCTTATATTTCATGTAAAGCAAATATGTTCTGAAGTTTAAGAGGCAGGACACTTTATAATGACAAGTATTTTTTCACAGTTGAGTCTAGCAGTTACAATTTTGATTATGTAAAAACTGATCAAACATAGACTATTTAAAATTGGTATATACATACTTGAATCTTAGGATTCTTCAACAGTGTGAGAATGGTTGTTGTGTTTCCATGTTAAAATGCTTGTGTACCTTTGCTGAATGATGCTTACCATATGGCTCGGGTCACTGCTCACTAGATCCACAGAGGCAGGGATTCCCAATTCTAAGAGTCAAAAAGAAACAGCAATTGAGGGGTCTACTTGACAATGTGCTTAAAATACAGCAAACAAATAATGGCCATGATTTCCTTAAGAAGTACATAAAGTCTACCATTAGAAAATAAGAATATCTCAACTCATAAGCATCAATGAAGATTGTAAGTTTCATTAACTTTCTGCTGCTGGCCTTCTTTTTTTTTTTTCTTGTGCATGCTAGGAGGGTTCTTACATTTAAGCCATACTTCAAGCCCTTTTATTGTATTTTATTTTCAGAGCAGAGTCCTGCTAAACTTTGTGCAGACTGGAATTTAACTGGTGATTCCTCCAGCCTTTG